CATCAAGCTTCTACTTTCATATCACACTGAATCGATTCGGAAAAGAGAAAAGAAGTGAGCATTTGATGAGGAAAAGAACGCCCACATCTGGTCAAAATACGCGATGATTCAGCCACGAATTTAGAGCATTTTTTGAGGAGTCATTTCAGTCATTTCAACGAGAAAAGTAGGAATAGTTTCTGATTTCCAGTGTACAAGTTTGATTGTAGTCTAAGAACAAGTAACTTTAAAGCTTTCAAATCATTCCCGATATTCAACTGTTGGCTTAAGTCTTTAGCTTAAGCTTTGTATTCCTGGAACACTTGTAAACTTAAGCTTTGTATTCCTGAATCATTTATAAACTGAATCATTAAGTTTACAACTGTTAAATAAACTTAATGATGGGTGTCAATCATCAAGTTCATCTAGAATCATCTTCATCAAGAATCATCAAGAATTACAGCCAATGAATGGTCAAAGTCTTTCTTGGTCGGATCTTGGTCGTTCGTTTTGTTGAGTTTGGTCTCCACTTTTTTGTTTTGCTTCTCTCTTACCTTATCTCTTCTCTCTTACCAATGAAAGAGCTTCGAAAAGTAAACACAGAGTTTGTCAACAAACAGTTGACTCATCCCCAACTCGAAATTGTAAATTGAACATCAAAATTTGCGATTTGATTAGGTGACCGAGCTTCTGACCGAGTCCAGACTTTGTTTTAAGAATTGAACAATTTCAGTTTTAGTCTGGATCTTGAAATCAAAGCAGACACAACTTTAAAAAATTCGGCTTTCTGGAAGTTAATCCTTTTATTTTCATGACTATTCTCATCAAAACAATTCTTTTCCTCTAAAAAACCAAAAACTGAACGATTTAGAGAATTTTGGTCAGTGTAGGAATGTTTACAAAAACACCCCAAACCCCATAGAAAAAGAAATAGAAACCCCAAACCCCATAGAAATAGAAATCGCGACTTTTGATCAGCTGAATAGCTGAATAGCTTTTGATCAGCTGAATATCTTCAAACTTCTTCAAACTTTTGCTTTTACTTTCAAAGTTTTGTCATTTATAAGTGTGCTTTTTTTGTGAATCTCTCGACAAATTTTTCATTTTATTCCTCAAAAATTTCCCTTTGATAATGAGATGGCGAATTTGAGGGAAATTTGAGGGAAATTTTGCAGGGATAGGAAAATCGTGAGAAAATTTCTCATGGGAAAATTTGAGGGAAGGTTTTTTTGGCTGTCGAAGAGTTTGAAAAACTTTTACTTATCTAGGTTTTGATCGATGAAAAACTTTACCGATACCATTACCCAAAATAGTCCATTTTGCATCACCTCAAAATAGTGAATTTTGAATATGTTCTTACCCCAGCAACCCCTTTCATCTTAATCTTGGATTTTGCTAAACAAAATCCACGAGTACAGCTTTTTACCACTGTTCTCCCTGCAAACTGTGATATCTCCGGAAAAACCTGTTCTTTTCTCTCATTTTTCTTCTGATTTCTGGTAGATCTGGTAGATCTATGTGTTTTCTACTCTTTTTTCCTTTTTTTTCTCTTTTTTCCCTTTTTTCCCGTTTCTTTTTGTCTTTTCCACCAATTCTCGGATGTCACTTTGTTCGTTGAATTCCCCGCCCGCTCGGTCAGAGAAAAACGAGACCCCGATCCAGCAAAGATGACGTAGAAATTGGATGAACTCTTGCAAGAACTTGATTTACTTTTCTCTGAAGCTCTGAAGCTCAGAGAGTTCTTGATGAATCTAAAAATTTAGTATCAAAGCAACCAGCGCCTGGCTATTCTAACAAAAAATTCAGCTTTTCCTTGCTGAAAACTACAGTAAATCCACCGAAAAAGTGACGAGAATTACGAGAATTGCGTTCGATCCTATTTTCGTTTTCGTTCTTCTTTCCATTCTTTCCATTCTTTCGATTCTTTCCACTCTTTCCATTCTTTCAGCTCAAATATCATTTCTCGTCAATTTCAGCTCAAATTTCACCTCAACATGACCTGCTTAAGAATATTTTTAAGCGCTTCAAAATGATTCAAATCGAATCATTTCAAATCGAAACTATTTCAGCACAAGTTTGATGATTAAACTTATTTGATTTTATTTTTAAACATGATGAATAGATTGGCTGAATCGTCATAACCTTTTCCCTCTTTTCTTCCACATTTCCCCCACCAAAACATTCACGTGTTTTGTTTACCACATATTGTTTATGCACTTTAAAAGTGCTCATCATTTGAGAAGCAATAAAAGCTTCAGCTAGTCGTTTTTCCTTTCCTTTTGAAAGCTGAAGTTCTTGCTGAAACTTGAAATCAGTGGAGTTGACTCCACTGATTCCACTCCACAGTTGACTCCATCTTTGGCGACTAAAGAGCGACTAAAGAACTAAAGAGCAAAAGGATCCAGGCGGGATCGAACCCGGATCCTTCAAGAGAAGGTCGAGGAGGAGAAGGTCGAGGAGGAGAAGGTCGAGGAGGAGAGGGTCGAGGAGGAGAAGGTCGCTTTGGCACCGCCAAGTTGAAGACAAGTTGACTCCTCTGATCTTTGGCGCCTTCTCCTTTCTTTGCTATCATTGGATGAGCTTCTAGAGTCTGACTTTAGACTTCTCTAATTCTCAAATATTTAGTCCACTTTAGTTCAAGCAAATAAAAATATTTTGTTGATCGGAAATGCTCATAGAAAGATAGGAAAAGGGCATTTGTTCAAATAAAATTTAAATTGACCCCGTGACGTCGATTTTCATCAAAAAGCGGGCAAAGCTTTGCAAATTGCGCTTTTTTGGCGGAAAGCATAAAAATTTAAACAATTTTGATCGTCTACTGGTTTTTCTGGAAAGAAAATTTATGGATTTTTTTTGCAGCTTAACATTTGACGTCTTTTGCTCAAAAGAGAGCCGATTTTTTTAGATCAAATTTTGTATATTGGCCGGGAAATGGTCTTTTTAAGCCTTTTTTTTGGGGAGAATGATTCATTTTTGTTCCTCAGTGATCAACGATTTTGATTGTGTATATAAGGTGGTACAATGTTGTTATCAACAACGAAATTTATCTCTTAAAGAGTACGATAACTTAAGCATCTTGAATCTGCTATAGATCAGCTTATAGCTTAGCTCAGCTTATAGCTTAGCTCAGCTTATAGCTCAGCTTATTGCTCAGCTTATTACTCAGCTTATAGCTCAGCTTATTGCTTTTAGCTTATTGATGATTGGCGTACGATAGCTGAAGCATCTTGAATCGAATTGTTTTGGGGGATTAAAATAACTGGAATTCAAAGCTTTCCACATAAGTTTTTCAATTTCGAATTGGTTAGACTTGTTTCATTTTGATCAATTTTGAGCTTTACACTTACAAAATGAAACTTTTGAATTTTGAATCCTTTTGAAAATCTTTCGTTTTTCTTTTGAAAAATCATTTCTTTCCTTTTGTGTTTCAAAGGAAAGTTGAAACTTTTCCCTTTTTTCGAATCTAATAACTCAAATCAAATATCTCAAATCTAATAACTCAAATCTAATTGCTCAAATCTAATAGCTCAAATCAAATATCTCAAATCAAATATCTCAAATCTAATATCTCAAATCTAAAAACTCAAATCTAATAGCTCAAATCCAATAGCTCAAATCTAATTCCTCTCTTTGTTCTGATTGATTCTCAAAGTTTTTTTCGAAAATTTGACGAACAATTTGTTTTTCCAAACTATTTACCCATTCTCTTCACAATCCCCTTATCTATTGGCTTACTTTTTCGGTAAACACTTCAAACCTCAAAGTTTCTGAAGGATTTTAAGACTTCAATTTCAAGCCTATTGAGAGAAAAAACGATTTAAAACATACCGTAAATAATGTAATAGTACCCCACCCCCCTCGTACAGTCGCGTAGTCGCAGAAGTTTTTTAGTATTTCATTTTTTTCAAAGCGCCCGTACTTTCAAAAAATGTGTGTTTGGTATCAAAAAATAGCCCTGAATTTCAGCTATTTTTTGCTACCTAAGCGCGCATTGTAGCATAAACCAGTGTCGAGAAAAACTCGTTCAAAGCCAGACTGCACAACACTCCGCACCGTCATTATGGGGGTGGGGTACTATTACAGTATTTACGGTATCCATTTCGTTCATTTTGTCCATTTCGTCCATTTCGTTCATTTCGTCCATTTAATCAACCAAAAATTAGCTCAAATCCCCCAAAATTGTGTTTTTGTGCACTATTGCACTACTATTTTTGCTTTTATTTTATCCTCATACTTATGAAAGCTGTTAAAATAAAATCCTCTCTAGTTTGTCGCAAAAAAATTCTCTCATTTACTCATTAATTATTTCACTTTCTGCCAATTACACTTTTGTCTGTAGTACAAAAAGAAAAGAAAAAAACGGTTGATGACGTCTTTTGGGAATTGAATCGCACATTTGTGCTGGAAATTTTCTGGAAACACTCACTAATAGATATTTATTATTATCGGAAATATTTTGTCTGAAATTCTGAATCTTTTTTATGATTAGTTTCTGTTTTTGTGAATAGACAACAAAACTGTACAAAATTTGCTGGGAAATCGTGTTTTTGAAGCTTATTTTTTTCTTTACTTCTTCAAATTCCAAATTTTCCTTTCTTTCTGTAAATTCGAAACTTTTAGAGCAATAGAAAATTGGTGAAACATTACTGAAAATGTTGATATACGAGCCGTTCTCGAATTCCCCATTTGACTATCCATTGGTGCACTTTTCTCGAAGAAAACGCGTTCAAACATACGAAATTGATGCGCAACCGTCTACAAGCAGTTGTTGTAAGTTCTGAAGAACGAAGAAGAACTAATGTTCTAATGAACTAATGTTCTAATGAACTAGTGTTCTAATGAACCAATGTTCATTTGTCGTTTGTGTTCGTGGAGTCATTTGTCATTTGGAGTCATTTGTCCATTAAATGAAGTCTTTCGAGTCCATTAAATAGTTGTCTTGCTTTGAAATGAAGTCTTCTAACAGTGTCAAGTTAAATATGATAATTAAAATATAAATCTCAATGAAGAACTTCTTTTAGCAAGCTCGAACAACGATGGGAAAAACGAGGAAACGGCTACGGGTTGGTCGTGTGCGATTCAGGTAGATAAGAAAACAAAAACAATTGTTACTGTTGAAGTTTTCAAAAGCGATAAATAAGAGCTTTTTAGGCGGCATTGATGCCAGTGACTCCACAATCTTCAACCGGGCTCACACGCGATATGGCTCAATTAAAAGTGCCGAGCCAAGGAGAGAAAGGACATTTGGGTGTACAAATACAAAGTGAACAGGAATTCTCACAGCTCTATCAGGTATCGAAGGCTAACATAATGATGACTAATAGAAATGATGGCTAACAGAATGATAGCTAACAGAAATGATGGCTAACAGAAATGATGACTCTAATCTAGATCTTTGCCGACGAGATTCTTGGATCCGGCCAATTCGGTACTGTTTACGGGGGAATTCACAGGAAAACGGGCACGCATGTCGCTGTGAAACTCATCGATAAGCTCAAATTCCCACCGAATAAAGAGGATCTGTTGAGGACCGAAGTTCACATTTTGCAGGTAGAGATTTCAACAATTCTTTCTTGAGAGAACAAAAGATTCTTTTCTTTTCACCTCTTTAAATTTTCAAAATGTTCAAAACCTCACCAATTCAAAATGTTTCAGAACAAAGAAAACTATCATCATCGACTTGTTTCAATGTTTTTCTCAAAACCAAAATTTCAGAAAGTCTCCCATCCTGGTGTGGTCGAATTCCAACAAATGCTTGAGACGCCCGATCGGATCTTTGTTGTGATGGAGAAATTGAAGGGCGATATGTTGGAGATGATTCTATCGAGTGAAAAGGGACGATTGAGTGAGAGAACCACACAGTTCTTGGTTGGACAGGTGAGGAAAAGGCGAATTTAAAAGTTGGCTAGACTTACTGTAGTAAATTCAACTGTTTTCACAGTTCAATGTTGCTCTTGAATCCAATCCTCTTGAATCTAATCCCAAGCTGATTCCAGATTCTCGTCGCGCTCCGCTACTTGCACAACTTAAACATCGTCCATTGCGACTTGAAACCCGAGAATATTTTGTTGACTTCAAATTCCGATTTCCCACAGGTAAACTGAAATTTTGAAATTTTGAAATTTTTACAAATTCAATTATAGGTGAAACTCTGTGACTTTGGATTTGCGCGAATTATTGGAGAGAGATCTTTCCGAAGGAGTGTCGTTGGAACACCTGCTTATTTGGCTCCCGAGGTCGGTTCAAGTCATTTAAAGTCATTTAAACTTATGAAAAAAGAGTGTTAATAGCTTAAAGAAAGTGTTTTTAAAAATGTTGTACTCAATATTCGTTTCAGGTACTTCGGAATAAAGGTTTCAATCGATCACTTGATATGTGGAGTGTTGGAGTCATCGTTTATGTTAGGTGAGCAGTCAAAATAGGTCTTTAAGGCAATTGTAGACATAAATATATCAAAATTTGCCTAAGTTACTGTCTATTTTAGCTAATTTTACCTAAATTACTGTTTTTTTAGTTTATCCGGCACTTTTCCATTCAATGAGGATGAGGATATCAACGATCAGATCCAGAATGCTGAATTCATGTATCCACCGACGCCGTGGAAGGTAAAAAAAACACGAAATACGGGAGTGGGACAAATGTGACCTTTTTTTGCGCACCCGGACATTTGCGCACCTTTTTTTCCGCACTTAGCCCATTAGCGCACCTTTTTTCGCGTTTTAAAAAAGCCCTAAAAGCTAATATTAACCAATTTCTATTCCAAAAGTTGTTTTTCTAGGTAATTTTAGGGCGTAGAATCGAAATTTTGGCATATCAGAGCTTGTGGAAGCGAACGGACGGAGTTATACAAAGAGAAAAATCAACAATTGTAATTCTACACAACAATTGTAATTTGACCTAGCCGTTTTGTCTTTCAAATTGGTTCCACAAGCTCTGATATGCCAAAATTTCGATTCTACGCCCTAAAATTACCTAGAAAAACAACTTTTGGAATAGAAATTGGTTAATATTAGCTTTTAGAGCTTTTTTAAAACGCGAAAAAAGGTGCGCTAATGGGCTAAGTGCGAAAAAAAGGTGCGCAAATGTCCGGGTGCGCAAAAAAAGGTCACATTTGTCCCACTCCCACGAAATACAAAATAATTTTCAAAATACAGTTATTAAACTAATGAAAAATAATGAAAAATTGATGAAATACTAATGAAAATATTCAAGGAGATCACTGAAACGGCCATCGATTTCATCAACGGTTTACTGCAAGTGAAGATGAGCAAGAGGTTGACTGTGTCAAAGGCTCTCGTTCATATTTGGATGCAGGTATTGTGTAGCTCGAAACAGAAACACACCTTTTCTGGTACAGTGAATTGTGTCGTAGAATAATGAGCGTGCCAGAAAGGGTGCGTTTAAATCAACTGAGGGTTTTCATACAATGTAACCCAACTATCAAATTTCAGGGTTATCAACTCTGGTCCGACGAGCGTTGCCTTGAAAAAGAAGTGGGTGAACGATTCTTGACACACGAGAGTGATGATCAACGATGGGCAGAATACGAGAGTCACAACGGGCTACAACCTGTCTATGTCTAGTCTCTTCTCGATCTTTTCGACCCACAAATACTCAGGTCAATCCCAAATATACCACATTGTGATTATGGAGAGACCATTTACTTCCCAACGGTGATTCTTTTCCCCATCTCTTGTAAATCTCTTCTCATATCCGCCCATTTCACATATCATTTCCGTGTGTTGCTATTCTCTTTTGCCATGTGTGCTGCTGTATAAGAGCTATCTTTTTTTGTTATGGAGTTGTGCTTGGTTTTCATGAGTAACATGAACAAAAAAAATCTTTTCTCGAGAAAATCCATTTCTTCGCAACTCTCCAATTTGTGATTTCGAATCAACTTTCCCTATCTGTCTCTTTTATTTCAAAACAACTCTTCCCAAACGGCTCAATGCTTGCCGGTTTTCCTTCTTCTCACCTTTTTAGCACTTTTTGTGAATGTCAATCTTTTCGCAAAAAAGAACAAACTCTGATCTTACTACTACTACTACTCAAATTCGTATTTTGCAAAAAGAAAGGTGCTTCCAAAAAGCATAGTCCAACTCTAGTATGACTCTAGTGTATCAAAATCATCCATAGTCTTCCTAGATTCAAACATTTATTCCCGATTCTATGTCAGCTCTTTCCTTTATCATTTCTTATTTTTTTCTTTTTTTGTGTGTGCTGGGTGAGGGGCCATATTCCTGTGTGTGCGATTTCTTGCTGTTTTTCACCCGGATTGATCTCTTGATTTTTGTGAGTTCTTTTTCAAAATCTCGGTAATCTCTTCCTTTTTGCCAGGAGTCCGCAAATTTCGCTCATCGTTTTTTTGTGTAAGAAATTTTCTCTCTGAAAATTTCACATGATTTGAATTATTGATTATCATTTTGATTAGAGCAGAATTGTAATAAAGATTTGAAAAAAAAATTGAGCAGAAATACATGCAACTTATTGGTTCTATCCAAAAAGTTGATAAACATCATGCCTCTTCGAGATTTTTGAGTTTTCACACAGCTTCAAAGAAAATAACTTACTAAAATCAATTAATCGTGCTTGAATTTGGGAACAACTTGCTATTATCGGGAGTGGGACAAATGCGACCTTTTTTTTGCGCACCCGGACATTTGCGCACCTTTTTTTCCGCACTTAGCCCATTAGCGCACCTTTTTTCGCGTTTTAAAAAAGCTCTAAAAGCTAATATTAACCAATTTCTATTCCAAAAGTTGTTTTTCTAGGTAATTTTAGGGCGTAGAATCGAAATTTTGGCATATCAGAGCTTGTGGAAGCGAACGGACGGAGTTATACAAAGAGAAAAATCAACAATTTTTTGTAATTTGACCTAGCCGTTTTGTCTTTCAAATTGGTTCCACACGCTCTGATATGCCAAAATTTCAATTCTACTCCCTAAAATTACCTAGAAAAACAACTTTTGGAATAGAAATTGGTTAATACTAGCTTTTAGAGCTTTTTTAAAACGCGAAAAAAGGTGCGCTAATGGGCTAAGTGCGGAAAAAAAGGTGCGCAAATGTCCGGGTGCGCAAAAAAAAGGTAGCATTTGTCCCACTCCCGATTTATCGCCGATTATTCATCAGACGGCAGCGAGCCGCTCCTCCGTACACTCTCTCGCCAATTTGGCCGTCATTTGAATTTATGTGTACAATATACGCGTGAAAAGATTTCTAAACTTTGAAGTTTTATTGAAAAACGCCCATGATTCTGTTTTTTTTGATACCATTTTACATTAAGAAGTTTCTGCGTAACTTATTAGACGAAAATTTGTAACTTTACAGCAATTTCTTGCTTGGAATTAATAGAACTTTAAAGAGGTTAAGTCAGTGTTTCTAAGGTTTTTCTTGTTTTTGCTTAATTTTCTTCTCAATTATAATTCTTTTTACTTTCAGATCACACCTCTTCTTGGTCATATCTCCACATGCGATGGAAGAGGATAAAATCATCTTGATTGGAAATGAGACTGATGTGCTGCATTGTGGGTTCAGTCATGCGATCTCCGACTCAGGCAAGCGATTTCCCAGCGCTGAACACTATGCTCATTCGATGATTCTCAGTCAGCTGGGGCTCGATGATTCACATATCTTGGAGCTACTCGGATGCCGAAGCAATGAGGTGAAAAGCCGTGCCCGCGCTCTTCTCGTCGAGAACATGCCAGCTGGACACGATTTGGAATCGTTGAGGCAATATTTGGAGACTAGCAGGCAATCGTACACTATGCAAGGACTGCGAATCCGAATCGAACAAGATGCCACCTTTGAGAAGGCTTTGATGGACACAAGAGAAGCACTTTTGATTGTGTGTGATGAGAATGAGAAAGAGTTGGGAATCGGTATGAATGAGATGCAATTCATGGAGTACATGAAGCGAGAAAGACTGGATGCTCAACGAATCGGTCTTTGGTTGAGGAATAGCAGCACACGGCCGGCCAATCTTGGCGCCAATCAATTGGGCTATTTTCTGATGTGGCTTCGATTCGAGGTGAAAGAGAAAAGACGAACCACGAAGATCAACTTTGAGCCGTATATCATCAATGGGTTGAGCACGGATGATGATGGGAATCCGGTCAAAATTGCGTGCAACGATCAAATTGTTTTCTTAAAGGGAATCTTTCGTCCACTCTCCAATTTCTATGCTCATCCATTTGAAATGAAAGGTGGGCGCTATCGAAGCGTTGAGCATTATGCATACGAGAAACTTTTCAATGCCTTGCATTTTGATGAAAAATGTCTGGAAAAGGTTGTTACGACGGTGAACCCTTGTGATTTGCCGAAAGTTGTCGCCAAAGTTTTTGCTCAACAGAAGGTGGACGTCACAACAATAGAGGGAAAGCTGCAGCGGTTGGATCGGTGGCGACAATCGGCCATGAAACACAAAATCATGAAAATTGAATACCTGCAACAATTGTTGCTGAGCACGGGACAGGCGCTGCTAGTCGATACATCACCGGCTGATTCGGATTGGGTTTGTGGCACAAATGAGCCTGAGTTGCAGCACTTGTTGATCAAAGAATATGTGAATACCGAGCAATTGGTGAAATGGATGTGCGCTGAAGAACCGCCAGCACGTCTCGCTCATCTAAAAGGAAACAAAGGAGCCCTGTTGTTGATGGAATTGCGTGCGAAATTTGCGGAGTCAACAACAAGCCGAATTCCATTGGTCACACCACCACTGAACCCAAACTTGCTTGCCTCCATCACTCCACACATCATATGTTTCTCGTCAGAAAGTGTTTGGCACCCATTGTATCCGGCGGAAATTCGTGCAGCACCAGATCAACCTCTTTTGCCAAGTCCTGCACATTATGTGGCTCAAGAAACTGCAAAATATTTTATGTTCAACGAGGCAGACTCTCAATATGTGCTAGAGGATCGACGATCTGTTGAGTGTTGGAGACGAATGTACGAGACGATTGAGGGCTGCAATTGGGGTCAAGAAAGAGAGCAAATGTGGTACATGGAAAAACGCCAGAAGATGATTTACGAAGCTCTTCGGTTGCTGCTTGAACAGCACGCCCCATTGCTGCGAGCTCTGCTTGATACAGGAGACTCATTTCTGGCGTTCGTCTCTCGTTGGGATAGCATTGATGCTGAGCTCTCAATCGGAATGCGTGAACACGATCTGAGACGATGGTTGGCTTACGTTGAACTGGACTCAAAGCAATTGGCTGAAATGTGTACGCGACCGCTTGCCTTTCGACCACCATACTTGGGCGGGAATCGGATCGGTTTCATCTTAATGGAGCTTCGTGCTGAATTTCGAAGCAAAGGAGCCGTCAGTTGGACATTGCCTGAATTGAGTTTGGGGCCGGAAGTCATTCTTGGCAGTGATTCACCGATGGAAAATCTTATGGCCGATGAAGAGTTTGATGTGCTCTCTCCTGTGAACTATTCAGCTATCTGGTGCAATCCTTTATTGTTGTCGGCAAAGAAGAGCAAAGATCAAACTCTTCTCCAATTCTGCCATTTGATCAAAGCGCCACCAAAGTTGCTCTCCGTAAACGAGGAGCGAATCGGAGAAATCTTGCAACAAATGGATGCAACAAAACCCGACAAATTGGACTTGCAATTCTTGGGTGACGTGGCGCCCGAAGATCTGCGAGCGATTTTTATGAAGTTATGTGTTCGGATTCGTCAAAAAGCCACCGAATGCGACCGACAACAACAAGAGCTTTCCACATTGGCCAACGAGATCTCACAAATGCAAGCACTGCGGCGAGGAATTGAAAACGATCAACCAATTCCCCACATACCGATGCAAAATGAAATGGAAAGACACAACGGCAACTTTCCGCCTCAAGGCTCAATGTTGAGGGACAGGCAACCTCCAATGCGACAACGTTCACCTCTGAGAGCACCGGGTGGCGGCCGTGACAGAGATGATCAACGACGCGGTCCACCACCACAAAGGAGAAGTCTACCCGATGATCGGAGAAGAGACTCTAGACCGCCGCCACGTGAATATGTGCAGAAGCCTCGACCGCATCGAGAAGAACACCGAGAACGGCCGCCTCAACAATTGCCATCGAAACCTGAACCCGTTAAAGTGGTTGAAGCGCCAAAACAACCACCACCACCGAAACGTGAACGAAAACCCGATGAAGAGCTCAGTGAAGGAGAGATCTTAACGAGCGAAGATGAGGCTTAACTTAAATTATTTCTGTCAAACTCTTTTGATCTCTAGTTTTTCCCACGCGTACTTTCTCTTTGTATGAAATTGTGTTACTTCACTTTTGTTGTTCATTGTTGGTTATTTTGATTATTAATTGAAATAAATTTTAGATGAACCTGCTCACGACAAAGACCCAAGGACAGTCGGCATCGTATCAACGAGTCAAGGAAGGGCTCGAGATGGGACGCGGCTTTTTGATGCAAGGAATCAATCTGGATGAACGTTATACAGGTAAATGTCAACAAAAGAGTGGTGTAACGTTATTTGACTATGATAACTGTTTTTAAAAGCACTAATCTTTTCTTTTAGTTAATGATCGGGAGAAGAAGATACAAGCGTGTGATTACTACAAGAAGGGAATTGACGCTTTCAAGGTTGTCTATTTACAGTTTCAGGAATACATTTTCCTTTTAGTCTGCGATGAAAGTGAATATCATGGAGATCCCAGAAGAACGACGAAGTGAAGTGCGAGAAATGAAGGACAAAGCGAAAAGTAACATGAAAGCCGCCGAAGATCGTTTTGTTGAATTGAGTAAGTCTTACGTCGATTGCTTTTTGCATTGCATTTATGCAAACGAAGATTTAAGAATTCATAATGTGTCCAATTTCAGCCAACCAGATGCTCGGCAAAACTCCTTCTCCGACAGAGTCGCGACCAACGACGTCAACTTTTCGCGCAACCTCCACCACTGCCGCCGAGGTTCGAACCACAAAGAAGGATCTAACTCGGAATGGAACTGAGCCCTCACGTTGCCTAAAGCTTCTCCAACCCTCACCACTAACCGAATTTGCGCATTATCGAAAAACTGAGCGTGTTAGAGCTCAATCTAAATCACCCATTTCGAAAACAAAAATTCCACCCAAGCTTTTGGCATCGGCCAGGCAACCAGTGCAGAAAAAAGAAACGAGAAGCGATAGTAAGGCGACGATATCTAGAAATCAAGTGGGTAGTAGCATGAACCGATAAAAAGGCACAACGTCTTTCGAAATTTTCTAGCATGTTTAGAAATGTCCAGCACTTATGTAAATGTGATCCTTTGTTTGCGTATTTTCATTATTTATTTTTAGACTTCTCGTCCTCAACGCTCCGTTCTCGCCCGAAATGACATGCTAAAAGGTATGTTTTTGGAAGCTAACTAATTTATCATTTCTTTTTAGGAGTTGATGCGAAATTCGGCAACGCCATTCTCGATGAGATTTTGGACAAGACAGAAGTCATGTTAAAAGATGTGTATGGTAGGGTTTTTGTTATCGCTTTTTTTATGCATAAATTTTCAGGGTGTGATGCAGCAAAACAAGCTCTCGAGGAAGCAGTCATTTATCCGGCTCTCAACCCTTCATTATTCAGGTTAGTTTTAATGAGAAACATTTTCAATGAAAAATTTGTACAGTGGTCTCCGACAACCGGTCAAAGGGATATTGCTATTTGGTCCACCGGGAAATGGAAAGACTCTTCTTGCGAAAGCCGTCGCAACCGAGTCCAAGCAAGCCTTCTTCAACATTTCCGCTTCATCATTGACGTCAAAATGGGTAAGTCATCTTATTGCATACAGTTGGAATTCTAAGACGTAAAATAAAAGGTTTGCTAGAGTCCGTCATAGATGGATTTATCGATGCTAATGTTATTATGGAAATTTAGGTCGGGGAGGGCGAGAAGACGGTGAAGGCTCTCTTCCAAATTGCGAAAAACGCACAGCCTGCAATTATTTTTATTGGTGTGTTGCTTTACTTCCTTATAGAAACTCATTTATTTATTTTAGATGAAATTGACTCGATTTTGACGGAGAGAAGTGACAAAGAAGCCGAATCGAGTCGACGAATGAAGACCGAGTTCCTAATTCAATTCGATGGCGCTTCTTCATCGCAAAATGATCGGTTTGCATTTTTAAAAAGTTAAGCTGTATTTGTGTTTTAGGATATTAGTTATCGGAGCCACGAATCGACCATACGAGCTAGATGATGCCATTTTGAGGTAAATACAATTTTGTCAAGCTGTTGCAAAAAAAGACGTTATGGATTTTGCTAATTGTTTAGGCGGTTTCCGAAGAGGATCATGCTGGGATTACCGGATGAGAAGGCTCGACACGCCATCATTTTCAACACACTGAAGAAGCATAACGCTGATAAAGGGATTCGGGATCGTGACTTACGGTATTTCAAAAGTTTCTTATTTAAATATCTTGTTTTAGATACATTGCCTCGGTCACTAAAGGATATTCAAATTCCGATCTTGTCAATTTATGCAAAGAGGTATGACTATTATTTTCTTTTTAATGTTATTATTGTGGTTAATTTTATGAATTTTAGGCAGCAATGGTGCCTGTAAGACGACTTGGAAAAGATCAACTTCGGACAACGACACAACATGGACTTAGGCCAATTGAGGTGTGGTCACTTTGATTCTGATTCTCTAAGAAACTTTTTAGCATGTATAACATAGTTCCTATAATATGTGCAAATTACGGTATCTTTTGTTTTAACTTTGATACAATTTTACAATTTTAAATTTAGGTATCGGATTTCGAAGAAGCACTTCGCGTTATCAAACCGTCGACAAATGGAAATCATCTGCAGAAGATGCTCGACTTTACCGCACAATCTGGACAGATGTAGGAAAATTATGAAACCCTCTAAGCATTGATTCTTTTATTTATCTAGTCTTTGTCGTACAATTTTTAGCTTTTTCATTGTTTTTCACTCATTCTCTTGCCCAGAGCTTTCATTTTTCGAGCGATTTTTTATTGTAAATTTTTGTTTGTAAATACCTACTTTTTTTGTGAATCAAATCTCCTGATCAAATCGGGTATAAATCAAATTTAAAATTTGTCAGCGATAAATGGATCCTTTATGCGACAATGACATGAAATGACGAAATGCCGATGATCTCTTGGATTTTTTTCTCTAAATATAGCTCTTTTTGTGTTTCAATCGAGAAATTTCAAAGAAAATGCAATAGAGTTTATCATTGAAAGATAGTACACTAGAAAAAGAAATGAAAATGGATAGGCAATCGAATTGTGCTAGTATCGAAAAATTAAAATAATGAGATCCAAATCTGAATGTTTTTTTTGGTTGATATGAAATTGTTTATGCAGTCTGGCCTTCAGTTGATGGAAGTCCCGAAGCTTTCAAATGTTTTTGGCATTCCTCGTTGAAGATCTGAAAATTTAGTCATATGAAATGATTTCATCGATTAAATAAATAAACTAAGGTATTATTTTCCCAATTTCCCCTCACCTTTCCCAATCTATGCCAAGCGGCCTCAGTCTCGTCATCATCGATAGCGTTTTTCGACTTCAAATAGCCGACAAAAACGGTGAAGAAAGCCTAGAAACAGATGGTTTGTGAAAGAAATGAGGAACTTTGTTTTTGATGAGTTTGACAGAGATCCAAAGAGTTGATTTATCAAGAAGGGTTACTTACCAGCCAAAGAGCTGGGTCCATCTTGAATTGACGATGACGGGTGACGGTCTCGCGGGCGTAAGCCTGAAAATGTAATCGCATAACTTCTCACAATAAAATGAAACTTTAGATAAAAAATATTTCCACTAATAGACGCAAACAGACGCCCTGGCAGTGCACCATGAAGGCAAGTTGGGTCTCATCGGGTTTTCCGCGCCCTTTCTTCTCGTCTTCTGTTCTACGTTTGTTGAGAATTTTGACTCACCTTGAAAACCTCAAGATCTTCATAGGTGTTTGCGAGAATGTGAGTGGCGAGAAGAATACGTTGACCTTGCTTCTCGAATCTAGAGATAAATTTCGATACAATAGATACAATAGATGTAAAATATCAAATATACTACTGTATATTTATTTCAGAAAGCCTCTCACCTCTCACTTTTCTGCACATCTTCAGCCGTGTATTTCTCGGCTCCTTTGAAGTAAACGCGGAGATCCGGGAAATTGGTGAAAAAGCTGAAATGAGTTGTGAGTAGTTGAGATTTGTATTTCTATCACTGACTATTTGTAGAAATCCCTTCCGTGTTGAAGATTCTCAGCTCCCGTTCCGACCATCACTTTCGCCAATGAGTCCTTGATCAATTTCACGTCATTTTTGTCGACTGTCATTTTTGGCGTTTTAGCTAAATGTTTATGGTTTAGAATAGAATTAGAAAGTAAATTAGAAAGCTCAAATTAGAAAAAAGTAATCAATAAAAATGTAAAGTTAAATTAAAGTTAAAAACATGGAACTGAAAGATTAGTTACTTTGATAAATTGCATTTTCTGTTTCATCAAGAGAAATCTATCAAGATGTTGATGAATTCAAATCGGTATTATATGGGGAATCATTGCGTGAGAGGAGGCAATTTCTAGGCAAAAATTTAGAGAAAGAACTGGCTTTAGGACCTTTTCTAGAATTTCACTCCTTTTTTTTCTTTTTTACGTTTCTCTATCTGTTTGGGGCAGCGAAATGGGTTCATTTTGAGTCCTCTAAATAAATGAGATCATGGGAAATGCTGGGAAATGATGAGAAGGAAAAGAAAAGACGATTGAAGATTGATCTTTCTAGAATCTAGAACCTGAGCAGAGCTAGATACCCTGCTCAGGTTCTAGATTCTAGAAAGTAATGTTTTTTGACAATTGATTTGATTAAAGAATACATTAAAACTTAGAAACATATGTTTTTTGCAAGCTGAGAGTTTTGTAATTAGAAATTAGAACAATTGCAATTAGAAAACTGGCTTTAGGACCTTTTCACTCCTTTTTTTTCTTTTTTACGTTCCTCTATCTGTTTGGGGCAGCGAAATGGGTTCATTTTGAGTCCTCTAAATAAATGAGATCATGGGAAATGATGAGAAGGAAAAAGAAAAGACGATTGAAGATTTTTCTTTCTAGAATCTTCAAGAAAAGTTTTTGCAAAGTAAGGCCAAGAAGTGCGGACAAACAAAAATAGAAACACTCCTTGAAACCCTCGAAGAAATCTAATTCCTTTTCGGGATCCAAATTGTGTTTTCTATTATCGAATTCAAGCGGCTTATCACAAAGACAAATAAAAGAGAAAAGAGAAGACAAGGACTTTTCTTGTTTGGGAAAAATCAGAAAATGATCAGACATGATCTAGACACATTTTAGATCTTTTTGGGATTGCCTGCAAGGTTTTAGAAAGATGTTTTTTGACAATTGCAAAGATTGATCTCAACACCTGAATTTTCAATTTAAACCTTGTTCAATCTTTGATCTGTTTCTGAGTTTTATTTGTCAATTTGTCTTTCAAAAGTTTTCCCATTTCTAGAAAGTACTTGACTTTAGTAGTTTGTGATTGAAAGATACGATTGAAAAGAGAAATTGAGGAAATGAGGAAATGAGGAAATTTTTCAATGGCAAAAACTTTTGAACTTTCAAGTAGAGAGTTTTGAGAATCGAAAATCGATCAATCTAGATTTGAGCTATGATTGGCAGTTAAAATAGGGCAAGGAACTTTACGGTTAAGGATGGCAGCGATTATCGGCCAGGGCTAAGCATTTGACCAACTTGCAGTCTGATTTTATATAGGTTTTTGTTAATAACTTGTGATGGAACAAATAGTTTCTGAAAGTTGACGTTCTAAGCTATCTGAATCTTTAAGTTGAAATCTTTAGCTTATCTTTAAAATTTCCTGATCTTTGATAAGTTTAAGGTGCTTAAAAATTAGCTGCAAGTTGGTCAAAAACTTGGCTCCTGCCGATAATCGTTACCGTTACCGTTAACGTTAACGTTAACGTTATCGTTACCGTTAACCGTAAAGATCCTAGGGCAAGATAAAAGACAAAACTCAAACACAGATCAAAGATTGAACAAGGTTTAAATTGAAAATTCAGGTGTTGAGATCAATCTTTGCAATTGTAAGCTTGAATATTGGCTCTAGAAAAGTTTCACAAAGTCGTTTGGGTACAGGCAACCAAAATGAATTGAAAGATTTTCACTTTGATCATTTTGAAACTGTCAACAAGCATTTCCTCGGCTTTTATAGATTTGGGGATAATTGAGGGCTGGCTGGCTGGGGGAAAAGAGAAAAAGAGAGAGTAAGTTTTGTGCGTTCTTTGGGGGCGGAGCTTTGCCTTCATCCGACCGACCAAAAATAACATGCACCCCCGGAAATTTCCCCCGAAAACCTTTGCTCTCTTTCTCTTTCTCTTTCTCTTTCTCTTCCTCTTTCTCTTTCTCTTCCTCACCCAGTTTGTCGATTTCTCTCTAATCCTCTTGTACTTGCTCGAAAAATCGCTATTTTTCTCCTTCAATCTCTCCAATTTTAAGTGACGCACTGCTCTGCGGCCTTTTCAAGTAGCAATGAGTGTGCTCATATTTTGCAGAAAGAAAAAATGGAAAAAGACAGGCTCTTATCGTTTTAACATCAAAATTGTTGTGTCTGGAAAAGGGCTTATCACATTTTGTGGTCGAAATACAATTGGATTTTGGGTTGAAGGGAGTGAGAGTGAGAAAAAGGGTGATAAGAGGATGTGTACATTGCATTTTCTGGAATGGAGAGTGGTCAAAAAGGAGTACAGATTATTTTTGGGAAAAGACGAAATGTTTCACAAGATTTCTAACAAGATCTAACAATTCTAACAAAAAGCACGTGTGGCTGACTGGTTAAGTGTCTTTTATCTTAATCGGAAGGTCGAGGGTTCGAACCCCACATGCGACATGGTCACCCCCTTCGGATTTCCTTTCCCTTCGGGTTGAGAAGTTTTCTGGAGGGCAGTCTGGTGGTTGTGGCCCCAGTTCTTTAAAGTGACAAGCCACTCCTTCATCGTCATCTTCCCTTCACCACCAAAAAAGCTATTTAGTTCCCCATTGAGCTTAGGGTTAGGGAGCCGTCTGTCATGACGTGGGTTAAGTTAAGATATAGCCTAGTATTGTGTGTGTCGTTGTATTGTGATTGATATATTTCGTGTATGCGATAAATTCACCACTGGTAGCCCCAGTCGGTATTTTTTTTTTTTAAGATCGGTAGCCTGAGGGTTGCAAAAGAGCCAGACAGAGTCGAGGATGCAATCTTTCAATTCAGTGGAGGCAGTCCCATTCTCACGGTCAACACCTGCACAAATTAACGATTGGCTTTAGTCCGTCTATGAACTTATTAATCACAAATTGGAATGGAATTTAATTATTAACCATTTAATTGTTAATTATTAATCATTTGGAAATAATTTCACCAGCTCAATAGATCGCCCGACACTTTTCCTAACTCGGCTCACCTGAGAGTCTCTGCTTTGTCATCAATTGACGAAATTTCGGTAAATTTTCTCCGTGATGCAATGGAGACTTTGGACGGAAAACTTTCCCTATATGCCAAAGGACGGATTTTCCCTATTCCTCCTATATTTCTGTTAATTTTTGATAGTTAATACTTAACTAGTCAGTAGTTTAACTGCGTTAGTACCTCTTTTCCCCCCTAGAAGCTCTTTGAATGATAGCACAGAAAGCCCCTCAAGGGGAAAAGGCGCGAAAGAGGGGCGGCTTCAACTTGTCTTCTTAGTGCAGTGACAGAGCGTTTCTCTCGGGATCCAGACACCCGGGGATCGGTCTCGCCGCTGCGTTTTTGCGAAAACTCTGATCTTTAGCCAAGGAAGAAGAGGAGCAAAGGATCTCTTCGATCAATAGGTATTTGATTGTTTTTTGAATTTAACCTTTGAACCTTAACCTTTGAACTTAACCATGCATTATTTTTCGTGTTCACAGCTAAACTGTAACCTTGCGGGCATTCTTGGCTGGATATTTTCTTTGAGAACCTTTTTCTTGATACTGCTCCAGAAGATTGTTTTCCGAAAGATCCAAAGCTGTTTTTTTTCAGAAAGTGGAGAGGGTTTTCCTTCCAGTCAAATTATGCTATCGAAAGTTTTCCCATGTGCTTGTAAAACGTGATTCCTTTGGAGAAAATTAGGTGTACTTTTTGAGGAAATCGGCGAAAGATTTTCAATAGACTAACGGAAAGAAACTCGACTCGAAATTCTCCCCACTTCCCCACACAAATACTCCACTTTTTGGGGGTAGCAAAACTCCAAGGTCGAGGGGCTGGAGAAGAAAAAATATTTTGATACCGATGAAAACAAGTGACTCCTTTCAATGAACTTTTGGGGTGTTTACAGGGAAATCAAGGGGATTGAGAAGAATTGCATCGATTGACTATCGTGTAGTGTCACGGATCGTCTGCTTAAAATAAGTGCAATCTTTTGAAGCAGGAAATTTTTTGAGGAATCGTAATTAGATACCGAAAGAAGCAATCTTTTCAATTCTATTGCAAGTGATTCTTTGACTTGTTCAGTCAGATTTCAAAGTAATGTTCCAGATTGCTAGAGGCAGGTCCAGAGGTCCAGAGGCAGGTCCAGAGGTTCAGAGGCAGGCCTGGGTTCTGCTGGGATACTTTTGTGGACCAGATCTGTGAAGCAAAGCAAAAAAGCAAAGCAAAGAAGAAAAGCAAGAAACTGACCTCTGATCTGCTTCTGATCTTATCTGGCCCTTGCAAGTATGGACTTGAAATTAGCGCTCATTTATAAGCTAACTTTGACTTTGTCTGGCTGAAATTTCTGTATTTAGGTGCAAATGAATCTGGGAACCTGTTTGGATACTTGTCGATCTTATCCTCACCACTTTATTGTCGCAAAATCTTAGGTCGCAATCGGAACAGTCATTTTCTGTTCAAATGAGGAACTTCAAATGCAAATTGCGATCTTAATCTTACTGGGAATGTCAACTGAGTGTGTTGGCCAAATGACATGTGCAGAATTCGATGCAGAGTTCAACGCCGCTCTCGAATCTGCTTTCCGTTTCGGCTATGGAGGACTCGGCCAAGAGTTATCAAGAAAGAGGTTGGCTTTGAACATTCTTTGATGTTCTTTGGTGGCTTTGAACATTCTTGCAATCAATTTGATGCCAATCAATCAATTTAATTGAGTCCCATCTTTTAGTACTTATCAAAAGCTTATGAAAAGTTTTGTATGGGATTTCAAAAAACGAGTTTATAAGCAAACTTCATGATGACATGATAGCGCTATGGTGGCCGAGTAGTAGTGGGTTAGAACACAAGGCCGAGCATCTCTGGTTCGAGGCTGCCCTCATGTTTGTCATCTTGCTTTTTTGGATTTGCAAAGTTAATTGTTCTACTTTTCAAATACAAGTTTATTTGAAACTACTTTTCATAAAAATGTTTACTTTTAACATCAAAAGCTATCATTAAAATCAAAAAGATGAAAAATTTTCATCTATTTTCCTAAATGCAAATGTTTATGAGGTTTTCTCTTTTGTTTTGACACGTATTCTTGTATGTTTTGTGATGGATTTTCATCTCATTTTATCAAACACTAGCGCTACTAAACAAAGGAAAACCGAGAAAACGAGAACCGTTACAAAACAAAATCAAAACAAATTTTCAAATTTTGCATACTCGTCCATAAAGAAACAATATTTACACGTTTCTTCTCAAAAAAAAAAAAGAAATTTTTAATTTTCGATAAACACGTATTTTTTTAGGGAATTTTACGATGAGATGGGGGGTTTTCAGGAGAAAAAATCGTAAACAGAAGTCATGACAACATCACAAAGTTGAATGGCATCTGTTTACGAATGACAATTGCAACCACGCGCAAAAAAATGAGAGGCAAAACGGATACCCAATACGAAAAAGAGAAAGAAAAATCACAGATTGTGCACAATTTTTGGGTTAAAGCTAACTTTTCTTTTAAATTTCTAACATTATTTTTAGTTTATTTGCGATTTTGACGACTCCTCGTTTCGCCCAAAATACGCTTCCCGCCAAAGTCATAAGTGCGACGACAGAAGTAGATCTGAAATGGAAATTGAAATGGAAATTGAAATTGGAATTGAATTGTCAGCAACAAAACAAATTTTGCAAGTAATTTCTACGGAAATCGACAGAAAGCAAAAGAAATCTGATAGTTTGTTGTGAAAGTTTTTATTGCTTTGTATTCTCCGGATTTGGCGTGGGTGTATAAAAACGAATTTTTGAGTCTAATTTAGGCTTTGTTTGCGATGTTTTTTACTGAAAGAAAGTCTTGTTTTAATGAAAGTTTTAGTTTTTTTAAGGTTTTAACTTTAGTTTTTCACAAAGTATCTCACCGTTTCCATTGGTGTCTCCTCATTGGGCATTTTGTCTAATCTTGGGTAATCACTCTGCTCATAACGATCCATTTGCATCAAGCTTTTTGGTCGCAAATGCTCGGGCATCGATTTGATCCTTTTCATTGTCATGAAGCTGAAAATTGAGAAAATAAAATGAAAGTTGATTGAAAGGCTGAAAGGCTTTTCTGCTGGGAATTTGTGTCAATCCGTAAGTTACACTATGATAGTGAATATGCAATTTGCAATTAAAAGTATAATAGAATTTAACCTTGGATTTTCCTTGGATGTAAAAATATAAGCACTTACCGGCAGTATTCGTTGAATGAAAGCACATGGACGAGCTCGTTCACCGACGTGAGATCGATGCTGTCGATGTGACGAGAGGCGAAGATCTCTTTCTCATGCACATCCAAGGGTTTATTCTGAAATCTCATCTTCAGTTTTTATTCAGATATTAGATTTTAGTAGTTTTTGATGAATTGATTTACTTTTCTTTCACAAAACTCACCTCAATATGCGAGGCTCGATAGTACCAAATAACGGAGGCGAAGATTGGGGCCTCGTCTTGTTCCTTGTAGATGTTGACAATCTAAAAACTACTTTTATTACAATATTTTGTTTTGAATATCATTAAAATTGCACAATTTAATACAATAATCCAATTTCTATAGTCAAATTTGAAACTAGGATTTCTCTAAATGACTTGTGACTTTGTGAAATGACCTTTGCAAAATTCGCCTCTTCTTCATTGCCCACATTGATCGAGATCGTGTCGCCAGGGCTAAAATCTTTACGTATAATAAAGTTTGATATGTAAATTGTCTAGTATGCTTTTTAATTTTACCTTAGATTGTCTTATCTGTAATATTTTAGGCTTAAGACTTACATCAATCGAATCCCGCAACGGTGCACGGCTGCGGAATAGCATTGCCGAAAGACTGGCATCACGTTGTTCTGAAAATATTTTTCTGAATCACTTGAAAAAAAGATATTTAGCGCACCAGAAGGTGAAAGTTTGCAAAAGCAATCAAGCTTTTTGATTTACCTTGAGATGAACTCGTTTCCGAATCGGCTCTCCAAGAACGGACCATGGGAGATATTCGTCTTTCACCGCTTTCACTTTCTTCGATTTCCCCAATGTTGTTTTTGGCTAAAAGCGATAAATTTTAGATTTAGTAAGAGTTATTTCGATAAAATTTGAATAAAATTCAAAAATGTTTTACCTTAATAGCTTTCGTTTTTGTGATCTCTTTGAGCGGCTTTTTCGCGATCGCTTTTTGCGTCTTTTGAGCGGAATTCTTTCGGTTCGTAAACTAAAGGATAAAAAGTGCAAATGGACTTTTGAGATAAGTAGAGCAAAATAAAGAACTTATGGGAATTGATTGAAATTGAAATCACTTAAAATTTAATTTAAAATCAAAATCAAAATTACCAAAGTGTTCTCTTTGTCACTGGTGGCTCGGAGATCATCGCTCGATTGACGCTTTTGGCGTTTCCCTCCGTGTGATTGATTGGTGTTCTTCTGAAATTTGAAATTTATATATAATAATATAATAATAATAATAAATGCTAATAAGCAGAACAAGTTTGCATTAGTATAATGGGTCCACTGGGATTGGAAAATTTGGCAAAAAGGTGAGTTTCAGCAAGAAAAGCAACTAAAATAGATGTTTTTGCAAACTGCAAACTTGCAAACTCAAACTATTGCTTTTTCATTTGTAAGCTAACTTTTGATATTCAAATCACCAACCCTTGATTCCGATTTGAGATCGATGCTCGAGCGTGGTCTTTTCATTGCTTTTCCTTTTGGGAACAATTCAGGCGGGATTCTGATTTTCAATGGCGGCAATGGCCCTCTCATTTCTCCATTTTGATTATTTCCTCTTGGTATCTCGATCTGTTCCTCGTCAACTCGCATCGAAACCGATTCACAACGATCGCTTTCTGTTTCAGTGTTCCGATCGTCAAACTCCTGAATTGAACGATGATTGAAATCGATTTTAATGAATAAAGTCCTATGCATCAAAGCTTTAGCCAAGAAATTTCGAAGAGCCATCAATTCCCAAGCAATTTCAAAAGTAAGCCTTCTTTTTCTTTCCTTTTCGTCACTTAGTTTGGAAACTCTCGGATTTCGAAATCCCCTTATGACTCTTTGGCAGAAAAGAGAAGAAAAAGAAAAATGTGTTGATATGACGTGGCTCAAATTGGGTAACTCAATATCCTAGCGTAAGGAGGTGATAATTGAGTTTTGAAAGATATCAAATTCGTTTCGTAAGCTATTGAAAAAGGCTACTCTACCAGTACATTTACCCACCTATTTGCTACAGATTCTATTTCAAAACTCACCACTTTTAATGGAATTGAAGAGCTGCTTGGTGCAAGGAGGAAATCATTGAAATCTGTCGGTGTTCCTTCCTCGTAACAAATCGCGGCAATCTAAAAATTGCTGTTAATATAATGATATCAACATTATCTAATGCTTAGTCACTTTAAATCTCAAGAAACTTTATCACTGACGAATCTCCAAAAGCAAAAAAAAAACAAACGGTCGCTTGTGAGTCCTGTGAATTGGGTGTATCGGTGTTTCTCTCAAAATCGGGCAGGCAATCGATGTTGTAGATGAAAGTACTTGTAGAGGGTTCAGCATCGAAATCGGATGACATTGCAAGCTGAAAATTGGTTAGGATAGAGAATAGAGTGGCAAGTAAGTAACCTGAGTAAAATTTGCATGAGTAATTTTCACTCGATCAATCGGGGGGTGGCTATTTTGCGCCAAATTATTTGGACAACTCGCCATAACTTTCTTCTAAGTGGGCCAATTTGATGATTTTGGTGTCATTTTGTTGCACTTGTTGAGATCTACAAAATGACATCAAAATCAGAAAGATTGGTTCACTTCGAAGAAAGTTATGGTAAGTTAGCCAGTAGCCACCCGCCGATTAATCGACGTTTTTGCTCGAGTAACTACGAGTGATCCTCTTTACACGTCGAGTAAATTGAATATCTTTACATTTGAAGGGAATTTGCCACCAAAACATTTAAACAGCTGAATATCTTTAAAAGGAGTCGTATATAATCCGGTGCTCGTGATTTTTGGGGGCAGGCTACTTTCCGCCATTTTATTTGCGCAACAGGGTCATTTGCGCAAGTACGTTTGCGCAACTTTTTATTGGCGCAACAGGGTCATTTGCGCAACTTTTTTGACGTTTTTAAGGGACTGGCGCAAAAGCAGAGCGGTGCGCTTTCTAAAGCGTGGATGCGCTACCGTACCCCGCACAAAAATTTGCGCAAGTACGTTTGCGCAACTTTTTTTTTGCTATGTTTTTGTAGTGCGTTTTTAAAGTACTCTCTCCCCAGCATCCATCGTATACTGCGGTCAGAGTTTACGAAGAAATGACGCAAATAATCAACCGTTTCAAGCTTTCATCGGCTATCAATCTCACTGTTGGACAAAACTACACACGGAAGAAAACTGTATTGGCTCGACAAAAGCAACGTTTTACTGCTATTTCTAATGGTCGCTTGCCCGGTTGCGATTTTGTGCAACATCTTTCTCAGCTTTTGACTTATATTAAAAAAATTTGATTTTTATTGTTGTCCTAAATTTCATTGCTATTGTTGTCCTAACTTTCATTGTTATCGGTTGCGGGGGTGGGACAAATGCGACCTTTTTTTTGCGCACCTGGACATTTGCGCACCTTTTTTGCTGGAAAAGGCCTTAGGAAAGGCCGTAGAGCTTCGAAAATATTTCGAAAATTTTTCCATATAAGGGAATCGTATGCGTAGATTCCGAATTTCGACAAATCAGACCTCGCTGACACGTCAAATTTGGGTTAAAAGGCAAAAACTGCGGAAAAGCGTTAAGTTGCGTAGTTTTTGCCTTTTAGCCCAAATTTGACGTGTCAGCGAGGTCCGATTTGTCGAAATTCGGAATCTACGCATACGATTCCCTTATATGGAAAAATTTTCGAAATATTTTCGAAGCTCTACGGCCTTTCCTAAGGCCTTTTCCAGCAAAAAAAAGGTGCGCAAATGTCCAGGTGCGCAAAAAAAGGTCGCATTTGTCCCACCCCCATCGGTTGCACTTTTTTGGTTAAAGCGATAAAATATTTTACCAATGGTTATTAGCTCCTAAAAAGGACTAATTTAGATAAATATTGGAAGATTGTGCAAAAAATTGGAAGATTTCATAAAAAATAGAAGAAAATAAAAAAAAACAATAAAAAAAAGCTCAAAAATGAAAATAATGATTAAAAATTCGAGTGCTTAATACAGTGTTAAAGTTGCGCAAATGACCCTTTTTGTGCAAAAAAAAGTTGCGCAAATGACCCTGTTGCGCAAATAAAATGGCGGAAAGTAGTCTACCCCGATTTTTGCAATAATTTTTCGCAATTGTGGGGAGTGGGACAAATGCGACCTTTTTTTGCGCACCTGGACATTTGCGCACCTTTTTTTCCGCACTTAGCCCATTAGCGCACCTTTTTTCGCGTTTTAAAAAAGCTCTAAAAGCTAATGTTAACCAATTTCGATTCCAAAAGTTGTTTTTCTAGGTAATTTTAGGGCGTAGAATCGAAATTTTGGCATATCAGAGCTTCTGGAGGCGAACGGACGAAGTTATACAAAGAGAAAAATCAACAATTTTCTGTAATTTGACCTGGCCGTTTTGTCTTTCAAATTGGTTCCACACGCTCTGATATGCCAAAATTTCAATTCTACTCCCTAAAATTATCTAGAAAAACAACTTTTGGAATAGAAATTGGTTAATATTAGCTTTTAGAGGTTTTTAAAACGCGAAAAAAGGTGCGCTAATGGGCTAAGTGCGCAAAAAAAAGGTAGCATTTGTCCCACTCCCCAATTGTGCCTTTTAAAAAATACATTACTCGCGAGGAACACACTTCTAATTGAGGATAACTTGTAGAAGTGCTGATTATGATAAATTTACAAACTTTGACGGCTTCTTTGTCTACGAAAGGCTTGAATTGGCTACTGCTTTGGCAAAATTTTCATCCGTATCATTTCTTTCTATCAATCTTTCCTATTTCCCCAATTTTATGGCTCAATTTTTGTCAAATCTTTTGCGCAACGATCACAAGAAAAGAGCACTTTAAAATGTTTTCATAATACTAATTTCTTACTGAGTTTTTAATCATAGAACTTTTTGTGCTAGCTATTTTTGAAATGAAAAATCAAACCGTTGTGAGTAGGCCGGATTTCTTTCCATCTTCTTGATTTTCGACAATTATCGGAACTTCGAAATTGATTGCTGCCTTCGTTTCACCCTAAAATTGACAAAGAAAATGTTAGTACTTAGAATTTCTTGAAATTAGAAATTAGAAAACTTTAAAAAACTTACATTTGAACTTGTAGGCGTATCCAAGCATGATGGCTGATCGAGGGTTGTGTCGATTTTCAGCTCTTTCTTCAGATCTAGCTTTTCATCATCCTAAAATTTCATTGATAGTTTGAAAGGCGAATTTTTTGATAAGTGCGTAAAAGATGGGACTAGATCAAATTGATTAAATGGATCAAATTGATTGATCAAATGGATCAAATTGATTGATTGATTGATTGATTGGGATCAATTTGAATGTTCAAAGCAATATTCAAATTGCAAGAATGTTCAAAGCAATGTTCAAATTGCAAGAATGTTCAAAGCCTCAAAGCCAACCTCTTTCTTGATGGGACTCAGAAGAAAATCAATGGAGAAATTCGACTTCCTCATCGGTTTCACTCGGGCTGTCGGCCGGGTTTTCTTCTAAATTTCAAATTTTATTTTCGACAATTTAATCTTCATTTCTACGAGTTTCATTTCAAAACATTACAACATTTTTCTCGATTTCTTTTTTTGGAAAGGTTGGAGGTCGAGATTGGGTCTCCCAGGTAACGCCAAACATATTCAAAAGGGCGTTCCCCTCTTTTCCCCCCAAAGTCTCTTCATGAGATTATAAAAAAAAACTTCGTAAGCACTACTTATTATGTTTGTTTGAAGAGAAAAAGATGAGAAAAAAGGGATTTGATATGCTTAAAAACGTCGGATGAAGTGAAGCAGTGAGCTAAAATCTTTCAAAAGTAGCAAAATTTTCTTGCTGAAACTCGTAGCGTAATACAAAAGCACAATATCGTTTGAAAAACTCTGTGAGTCATTTTTGCAATGATAAGAGAAGAGCTGAAGAGAAAGGAAAAAAAAAGTGGGCAGAAAGGATTTGAAGCGAAATTTTTTGAATCTCTTGTTTTAGAAATCGTAATTCTTTACAATGCTACAATGGTTGATTGTTTGAAAGTTTTAAAAAAAACTACCGTATTTCTTCGAATAGAAGACCGGGTAAAGAGTATCATCGCGTACTTCTGCGTAGAAGTCCTTCTTTTCTGCATAAAAGCTTTCAATCAAGTGCTATAGGGCTGGAAAATGGCTCAAAAATACCACATGAGCTAACAGATTTTTGACCCATTTTCCAGCTCTATAGCACTTGATTGAAAGCTTTTATGCAGAAAAGAAATTTTAAAAAGGGCTGCGACGCAGGAGTACGCGATCATACCCTTTACCCGGTCTTCTATCCGAAGAAATACGGTAGTAATCTGGTAAAAAATCTAGTAAAGTCTAGTAAAAAAAACTAGACTCTAGTAGATTGTAAATAAAACTTTCAATATTTAATTCTTTGAAAGTTTTATTTGCAATACCGTTATTCAAAACCATTAGAACACTGAGAAATCTGAAAAAAAACAAATTCAAACAAACATCCGGAAGTTTAAAAGAGATGAATTAATGTAATGTTAAAGGAAATTTGCTCAGAGATTAGTTAAATATATTCAAGATTTCTTGGAAATGGTTAGTAATCAAGTTTTGATGAAGTATTAGGTTGAATTGAAGTACACAAACCAACGATTGATATTAGATAGAAGAGAATACAAGAGATACATACATACATGATACAAGAGAATGAGAGATATTCAAAATCAAAGCATCAAATAAGCTTTCACAGAGCTACTTTTCTGCACAAAGTTTAGCGTGAAAGCTATTTGAAATCTAAAACAAAATCCAAAACAAAATCTAAAGAAAATCTAAAATAAAATCTCTTATTCTTAAGCTATTTATTTAGAATATTAAAGTTGCTATACAATTCTAGAATATTATTAATTTATTATATAATATTATCTAGTTATCTATTAGGTTGATGCAAAAGTCTTTTTCGTTTTTTTCGTACTTCTTTTAAAAAATAACAAAGTCATCGAATTAACCTATAGTTTGCTCTAAATAAAAAGTGTTTATTGTTCAATTTCCCATCTTTTTAAATCAATTTGGGTTCACTTTCAAGCAAATTCGAGAGTGAAAACGGGTTTTTCATAAAAATCTATAAAAACCTCTATAAAGAAATTGGCTGAATCAATTTCTCTGAAAATCTGAAAAAATATCTAACTTTTTGTGCTCTATCTTCTATTTATTAACATCAAGATTGGTTTCCTTAGCTAAAGCGTCTAAAATGCATCATCGAGCCGTCGCCTTTTTTGACTACCCGACTTCAGGCTCTCAAAAAAATCTAGACATAAGACATTTTAAACTCGTTTTAATGTCATTTTGCAGAAAAATAATTGGCCTTTCGAATGCAATAAACCGTTGTTCAATTGGTGCATTTGTTACTTTTTAACGGAAGTACGAAAAAAATGAAAAAGACTTTTGCATCAACCTAATAATAGTATCAAAAATAAGTTGAATATTCATAAAAATATCAAAGATTGAAATATCAAAGAAATAAAAATATCAAAGATCTGCATTGAAAATTGCATCAAGTTGGAGAAACTGGGGCAGGCTCTGGCTCTGGGGTAGGCTAATTTCCGCCATTTTATTTGCGCAACAGGGTCATTTGCGCAACTGGGTCGTTTGCGCAACTCGCCATAACTTTCTTCTAAGTCAGCCAATCTTTATGATTTTGGTTCCATTTTGTAGATCTCAATAAGTGTAACAAAATGAAACCAACATCATAAAGATTGGCCGACTTAGAAGAAAGTTATGGCCAGTTGCGCAAAAGACCTAGTTGCGCAAAAAATTTCGCGCAAAGTAGCCTATCCCCAATTTCTATTTTAAAAGAGCAAATGTAATTTAAAAATACCAGAATACCATTAGGATGCTTGCAGAATATTGAATATCTTTTAATTTTATAAAGGAACTGAATAAGAACTATAAAGGAACTATAAAGAAACTAAATAGGAACTATAAAGGATCTAAATAGGAACTATAAAGAAACTAAATACGAACTATAAAGGAACTAAATTTAAACTATAAAGTAACCATTTTCAAAGAAAAAGTCAACAAATGGGGCAGTTTTCCGCTTTTCTCCGTCACAGTGCGTAGCTGCCCTATTTGTTGTGTTTTACTTTGAAAATCAAAAGATATTCCATTTTTTACAAGGACATAGAGAGCTTACAAGGATGGAGAGGAGCTTACAACGATATAGAGAGCTTGAAAAAGTGACAAGAATCCAAAGAAATAATAGTGGACGAGAATTTCACAATGGTGTAAACACTAGCAAGGGATCTAGGGCTCAAAATTGGTTTCATTACCCCATCTTCCCCTTTTTTTTCTTTTTCTTCACGTTTTTGTCCCGTGATCTTCCCCCATTCACCATTTCATTTCTTTTCTTTTTCTTTTTCTTTCTTTCACACATGTGATGGTACGAAAAAGGGTCGACCTCCATGCTAAGAAAAAGAAAAAGACTACGATGAGTCATTGAAATAAGTTGATTCATTCAAAGCTGTATAAATAGGAAAATAACGGACAGACATTGCGAAGAGGACGCTGATTCACTAATGCGCCAACCACTTTGCTAGAATTGCGAGGATGTCGCCAACCACTTTGCTTGTAAAATTTCTTAGTAATGCTGTAAACAGTTGTAAGAAATCTTTGGCTTTAAATGACAACTGATAACCGTGAAAAGAAAATTGTCCCAAATCTAGTCAAAAATCTTTACCTTTTTAGTTTAGAGACTAGAAAAGGTCAAAAACCCATTTACAACTGACTACAAAATAGCTACAAAAACCCAAAATAAGCACGCAAGTTTAAACTCGAGAAAAGTAAACAAAAGGGTCAATAATTTCAGAAAATATTGAAGTAAACAAATGAATATCCTTTCTTCTCAAAATTCTAATCCGGTCACAGATTTTCGCCGAGTCATTGTGAGGCGGGGAGAAAAAGCGCTGTGAAATGGGGGAGGGGATTCAGAAAGGGGAAAAAGGGAGTGATTCGAGTAATCTCTTCTCATTTCATTTCGGGAAAGAACTTGATCAAACTACTGTAGTCGGAAAAGACGACAAAAAAGACGGAAAAAGGAACAATGTACACGTGTAGTGAGAGGGAAAATTGAAAGGAAAGGGGAAGGGAAAGGGGAAAGGAAAGGGGAAGGGAAAGTTGAGGTTCATCGGGATTGAGGTTTGGATTTGTTGATGAGCAATCACAAATTAGCTGGAGTACAGGAATAGATCGTTCTGCGGAAGTTTGTCATTAGATTTTGAACTTTCCTTCTCTTTCTTCCTTTCCCTTCTCCCTTGTATTCCCCTCTTCTCTGACAGAAAGATACCGGATAGCTGAGTGGTTAGAGCATCTGCCCGCAAGTTTAAAAGTCAAGCAACGAGATCTTTCTCCCTTGAATCCCCTCTCCAGAAATCTTTCTTTACCATTTCTTATCCCAAAGCGTTGAACTTTGTTCAAGAAGTTCAGCATTCAAGATGGAACTTTCATGGAATGGAAGTTCAGCATTTGAATGGGATATTTCTTGGGTTATTCTTTGCTCTTTTACTGGAGTGTTAGAGTTAAAGTTTATCTATTAGGTACATACATAAGAAATGCGGATTTCAACATTTTCATAAATTTCCAACGATAGAAACCTGATGAATGAATGTTAGAATATCGATGAATAGTATAAACTATTTAAAAGTTGTAAATCTCCTCTACAAAATAGGCTAAAACGCGTTTCAATTGATCGAAGCATTGAAGAAATTTGCGAGGACGAAATGCGAGTGACCAAAAAAGGGCACTTTTTGAAAACCCCAGTTTCACAAGAGTTCGGTTTTGACTATATAGTGGAAAATGAGCGCCCTAAAATCATTATCCTAAAAATATCATTCAAAATAATTAAGAGTTGGGATCATTTCATGGGAAAACTCTGTTTTTACAATAATTTTTCTTTTTTTGTGAAAAAGCCGGTTTTTTTTTTGACAATTTTGAGGGTTTTGAAAATTACGCTATCGATATTATAACATTCATTCATCGGGTTTCTATCGTTGGAAATTTATGAAAATGTTCAAATCCGCATTTCTTATGCATGTATCGATTCTAAAACGGCTATAGTCGTATATTCGATAGTCGATATTCAATTTTCATTCATTAAGCCTAAATTGACAAAGATGAGCCAAAAAGCGAACTCAAAACATCACCAAAACATCATCAAAACTTAAACTGAATCAAAACTCAATCCAATCTATCAACATTTCATCATCAACCTAAATTTTCTGAACAATAATTGAAAAAAAAAACGTATATCACTAGAAATAAACTTTTAAACATCTGTTAAGCTTTACTTTTATCGGTTTTTCTTATTCAATTCACCTGTTCAATAAAATAAAGAAACTTTTCTAGAATTCGTACATGTAAGTTTTACAATACTGTCGAACCTCTCTATAACGAACCTCGATATAACGTAAACCTCTCTATAACGTAGGGCGTGCCCGGTCCCGGCCGGCGTTATGTTTTTAGGGAGCGGCCTTCCTCTATATAACGTAAGCTATAGCCGTCCCGTGAGTTACGTTATAGAGAGGTTCCACTGTATTTTGAAAACATTCAGATTTGAATGCCTTTTACAAAACGAGCAATTAGAGTGACCGACAGGGAGAGGAAAGGAAAAAAAGCAATAATTTTAAAATGAAGTGGATGGAAATGTCACGTTCTTGAAAGAAGACTTGATTTTCTGAAAACATTTAATGATCGATGGAGCTGGGCAAGGTTCGATTATTTATTTCTAGTTTTAGAGAATTTGTTTAACTGTTTAATTTGTTTAATTTTTTTCTTTTTTATTAAAAGCCACAAACCACCATCCACGATGCGCACCACTCTTTTTCCGGCGCGCCTCCCGCCCCGACGCGTCGCCCGCCACGAGTCACTTTCAAAGCTACGAATCACTTTCAAAGCTACGAGTCACTACAAATCACTTTCAAACCCACATTATGGTTGATATTCGCTTTCTTGACGACTTTCGATGCGTCGAATTCGAAGAGATTATCGAGTTGAAGACACTGAAGAGTTGATTGCAAAATACCGCAATTTCTCTCAAACATTGATCTAAAAAAAAATTTCCGATATTAAGGATTTAAAGGATTTCCAAAAAAAAAAAAATTGAGTAAGAAAATGTCGAAAATTTTAGAGGAAAGCTTTAAAAAGTTAGAAAAAAAAGCTTTCAGAAAGAGGAGAAATGATGAAATTGTACGAGGAAATTGTACGATAAATTGGTTCGTTTTTAGATTCGATTTTTCTTTGGTTTTTCTTTAAGTAGACAAAATGACACAAGTTGATTCAACTTGTGTTTCAAAATTCAACTGATTCGATTCGAATCAAGTTATAAATCGAATCAATTTCTACGATGATGATGATGAAATTGTATTGAATTTAAAGAAAGCTATGAATTTAAATAAAGCTACCTCATTTTTCTTAAATTCTTAAACGATATCTCTAAAATTTCCCCTCAAAATGCGACCTCCTCCTCGTTTTTCCAAAAGAATCTAACCAAAAAATTGAACGCCTCAAAAATAAGAGAAAAACACGTCATTCTAGCTCAATGGATGGCTTTAAATAAATGAAAAAAAAGAAAGAAAAAGAGAAAGAGATTGGGAAAATAGCTGAGTCAACAATGAGAGTTTATAAGTGTAAAATTTGATTGATCATCGAGAAATTGAGATCTGAAGGTTGACTGAAGACTTAAAAAGACTTCAACAACTGCGAAGCTATTCTTTTTGACATAAATTGGTTCGTTTTTAGATTCGAATTTCTTTGGTTTTTCTTTAAGAAGACAAAATAACACAAGTTGAATCGAATCAAGTTATAAAACCTAAGCCTAAGCCTGAGCGATACGTGTTAAAGCTAAGCGATAAATGTTTTGGGATCTTTTTTAATGCCAAAAATATGTAGAAACGCATCCTTTCTAGTGTTGTTGTTATTTTCATCGTTATAGGTAAAGAATTTTTTGCGCCAGAAAGGATGTGTTTTCAATATTTTGAATACAAAGAACAACAAGGCCAAGCGAGATTTAAGCACTATTTTAGTGCACTATTTTAGTGCACTATTTTAGTGCTTAATTCTTAAACGATGACATCTTTTGATGAGTTAAAATTTTTTCGAATTCGATGACAAAAACGATTCATTCAATTTTTACGTTTTTCCAGTTGTTTTTCTGTTTTTGTGTCATACTTTCTAGCGAATTATCAAGAAATTTCGTCACTCTTTTTAGATTTTCGTGATTTTTGAGTGGAAAAGAGAGAAGATTGTTTACGTCTTTTTTTCCCGTAGAAAATTTCCCCTTTCCTTGTTTATCATCCTCAGGGAAAACCGGAAAAGACTATAGAAAAAGTGTTGAAACTTACAATGAAACTTAGAATGAAACCTACAATGAAACTTACAATGAAACTTAGAATGAAACTTACAATAAAACTTACAATGAAACTTAGAATGAAACTTGCAATAAAGCTTACAATGAAACTTAGAATGAAACCTACAAGGAAACTTACAATAAAGCTTACAATAAAGCTTACAATAAAACTTACAATAAAGCTTACAATAAAGCTTAGAATAAAGCTTACAATCAAACTTACAATCAAACTTACAATACAAATAAACTTACAAAACTTGTTAGATCACCAAAATACTGTAGCTTCCTTTTTAGAAATTCTATGATTATTCTAGGTGTACTGTGCTCATAATCAGCTTGGAAACCCAAGCTTTCTGGTTCAATAAACTCTGGTTTCTGATGATACCAGAGAAAATAATAAAGAAAATAAAATAATAATAAAGATAATAAAGAATTGAGGATCATATTAACATTTTCTCGCAAGCACAAACGTCAGAGGACAAATCTGGCTACTGGAATCTAATAGCAAATCAAATTAAAATCAAATTAAAATCAAATTAAAATCAAATTAAAATCAAATTAAAATCAAATTAAAATCAAATTTCCATCAAAATCTTAATCACTAAGCTTTAAAGTGTGCTTAAAGCTTTTTTCTTAAAGCTCAAATCCTTTTTGAGTATCGTCAAGCTTTTTTTTTATTTTCATTCAAAAGAAATCTATCTTAATGGTAAACAATTCGTGATTCAGAAAATTAAAGGAAAAAAAAAGAAAAGGATAATGTCAATGTCGCCTCATTTCTTTTCCCTTTTCCCTTTTCTCTTTCATCTTTTAATCCCACTGGATTTCAATCAGAAATTCACGTGTTCCATTTCGTAAATCCTCTAAAATACCTTCTAATACAAAAATGGAATCGAAAAAATCCTCCAAAATACCTTCTAACTCTTTTCTCATCAAAAATGAAATGAAAAAAGAGGCATAAGACTAATTTTCTTTATTTGTTTATTCTTTATTTTCTTATAGGAATCTTTTTTTTAGGGATTAACAAAAAATGGAATCGAAAAAAATAGAAAAATCGAATGGAAAACGCCCAAAATGAGCACCGACTACAAATGATTTTTGAGGCTTTCGAAAAAAAGAAAAATTTGGCATCAAGCTTTGAGATTTGGGGAAAAGAATTGGGAATCATGAGAAAAGAATAAAATTGAGAAAAGAAGTAAAAAAGAAGTTATAAACTCGTTTCAGTAAAAAAGATTAGTAATCAAGAATCGAAAATGACAGGGGAAAAGCATTAATGAACTATTGGATTGGTGAATTAAAAACTGCCGGCTATTTCGCGGGAGTCGCAGATAAATAACAGCATTGAACAGCTGTTAAAAAATAACAGCATTGAACCAGCGGAAAGGGGATTTCGTTACTTCAACATTTCCTCTAATTATTGCAAAAAAATTATGCTTCCAGCTTTTTTATTTTTTGGGTATTTTTCTTCACTTCTTCTATTGCACTCGACAATCTGCCACCGGGAAATATTCGTGATATCATGCTTCATGAGTTCCTACAAGAGCACAGTGCAGGCTTGGCAGCTTGGCACTTCTCGCTCCACGGCCCTCTGCATCTTTCAAAGATTTGTCCCCCAAAAATCGAAATTCGTCATGTCACTCCTTTTCCTTTTCCATGACATTCCTTTTCTCTACAGATTTGATTCCCTTATTCCAAAGATTTGGTTCCTTTTCTCTACAGATTTGCTTCATGAATTCCTACAAGAGCACAGTGCAGGCTTGGCAGCTGCTAGTATTAAAAAGATATATGGGGAGGACTCACGGCCGCTCCACGGCCCTCTGCATCTTTCAAAGATTTGTCCCCAAATCGAAATTTGGCAAACCATACTCGAAACGTTCTTTCGGGAGGTGAGTCCTTCCCATATATCTTTTTAATATTATATACTCAACTCTTCGTTTTCTCTGGAGAAAGTGAAGAAAAAAAGTGCGCTAAAGTGCACTTGAGTGCATTTAGACTTAAGCACAAAGTAAACAATGAAGAAATAAACTAGATAAAGTAAGATAAATCAGAATCGAAAAAGAAAAAGGTAAAAAATGGTACTCTGACTTTAAACCTGATCAAAAACATTTCAAAAAAACATTTCCAATTTTGAATTTCTTTTCTCAATTTCTTTTTTCAAGTTTATCATAGAATTTTCCACGTCATTACGACTCTTAAAGATCAGCTAGCAGCAAAAAAATCTTCAAATCGGATCAACTCAGAAAAAGGGATCTTTTTTGATCATTCCCACTACATCCCCAAAGAGCAGAAATGGATTTTTTAAGCAAATTTTCTAATTTAGACATAAACAGATAAAATTCCTCTTGGAAAAGAAGATTCCCGAAAGTCGTTTTTCTCTCAAAACTGCTGAAAAGGGAATTTTTGAGAGTAGAAAGCATAAAAAGAATGGCAGCGACCCGGAAGAGACATTTTAATGGGAAAGAAGAAAAGAACTCATCAAAACAAAATTAAACATAGTCAAAAAGTTATTCTTATATCTTCAAGACATTTTTCACTTATTTTAGTTATGGTTTTTAAAGGATCTGAGCAAATCAGAGACTTTGGTTTCAGCAGAACTGCCAGACTAAGAGTTGGAAGTTGAACCAAGCCAGAGCAAGTCCAGGCTACTCATTTCCACTCACTTCAAAAACTTTTCTTTTCCACTATTTTCTACTTACAGAAGGCAATGAAAGCTTAGAATATTTTAATATTAAAGTTAAAGATTGAAAAGATCAAGATCAAGATAAAGTTGTGGTGCTGGCTTGGCTTGCTTTTGCTTGGCTTGAGCTTGAGAAATTTTGATCCATGCACAGCTCAAAAGTAGATACTCAAAGATTATAAGAAATAAAAAAACATGCATAGAAATTCTATGCACAGCTCAGATCCATGCACAGCTCAGATCCATGCACAGCTCAGATCCATGCACAGCTCAGATCCATGCACAGCTCAGATCCATGCACAGCTCAGATCTATGCACAGCTCAGATCTATGCACAGCTCAGATCTATGCACAGCTCAGATCTATGCACAGCTCAGATCTAGTGCACAGCTCAGATCTATGCACAGCTCAGATCTATGCACAGCTCAGATCTATGCACAGCTCAGATCTATGCACAGCTCTAGGTTTCAAAACTAGATACTCAAAGATTATAAAAAAATAGGGATCAATTCGTGTCCTATAAGCAATTCCGATCGTTTCCTATCGTTTTTCTATTATAGTTCCCCGGATTTTTTCATTGAATTCCAAATCCGAATTCCAAAAATTTCTCCAAGTTTAGTTCTTTCTGATAACCTAAGAAATTTCAGAAAAGCAGTTATTAATGGCCAATGAGTACTTTTTTAGATGCGTTCCATATCCAATTAATCAAATTCCTCTTTGAGAGAGAAAAAAAGGAGAAAAATGAGAAAGGAAGTAGAAAATTTGAGTGAAAATGAGAGGGGAAAAGGACAAAATGGAATTAGAAGAACATTTGAAATTAGAAAGATAAGGCAAAAAAAGGACAAAAAGGAATTCGAATAATCAAAATATTCAGGTACAATAAATAAGTGTTACATTTGGGAATGGATTTGCATTTGGGAATTGCAAGTGGAAGAAAGTAGAACAATAATACAAAAGAAAAGCTTTTCAAATCAATCAGTTCAATCAGATTCTGGCTGACTCATTCCTTCATGATCTTCACTC